AGTCTGGAGAAGAGGAGGCTGAGGGGAGACCTCCTGGCCCTCTGCAACTCCCTGCCAGGAGGGGGCAGAGAGGGGGGATGAGTCTCTGGAGGCAAGGCCCCAGCGCCAGGCCCCGAGGGAATGGCCTCAAGCTGCCCAGGGCAGGGTCAGGCTGGCTCTGAGGAAGGATTTCTGTGCAGAAGGGGCTGTTGGGCGTTGGAATGGGCTGCCCAGGGCAGGGGGGGAGTCCCCGGGATCCCTGGGGGGGTTGAAGAGTCGGGCTGAGCCAGCGCTGAGGGGTCTGGGGGAGTTGGGAAGGGTCAGGGTGAGGGTCATGGTGGGGCTGGAGGAGCTTCAAGGGCTTTTCCAACCCGGATGATTCTGGGATTCACCCTGAGCAGAGGCGAGGTGCCCCCGCCCTGGCCATGGGGGGTCCCTAGCCCCTGGCTGGGGTTTCATCTGCACTGTCACCTCCACCCAGGGTGACTCCGGTGGCCCCTTGGTGTGCGGGAAGCGGGCGGCGGTGGCCGGTGTCCTGTCCTTCAGCAGCCCAGACCCCTCTGACCTTTTCAAGCCGCCGGTCGCCACCTCGGCCGTGAAACACAAGAAATGGATCCAGAAAACACTGCGGAGGGGCTGCTCCTCCCCGCGGCCCGGGCGCAGGGGACACACAGACCACCCCTTCCTATTTACACAGGTTGGATTTTAATTCTTAATACTGTCCAGAGTCCCGGTAAAATAACATCCTTAGTACATACATACAGCGACGGGGGGAGCGGGGCAGCGCGGAACCCGGCAGGATTGTCGGCAGAGGAGGGCTGAGCCCGACAGGCACGCGCGGAGCAGAGACGGGCAACAGCGGAGCTGGGCAGTGGGGCTTGAACCCGGGGCCGCAGCCGAGCGCGTGGGGTGATGTTGGCCCTCCTGGCACATCCTCGGCTCGGTCACGGCACTCGGGAGTGGGGACACACGCTGCCCCCCAGGACTTTGCCCCTTTTTCTTCAGCCCCGGGCACGGGTCCTGCTATGCTGGCCGCAGCCCCCCAAGCCACTGCTGGAGCCGAAGGTCCCCCAGGACATGTCCACCCCCACAACCCCCTGCATGTCCTGGGGGACCCCCCGCATGTCCCCACAGCCCTGGTGTCCCCCTGGGTACCCCACTGTGCAGCCCCATCGCCCCCCTCCATGTCCCCACAGCCCCCCGGGTGCATCCCCATGTCCCCATATCCCCGTCTCTGTCCCTGCAGCCCCCCCACGGTGCTGGTGTTGGGGGGGCCCATAGGTCACCCCATCCAAAGCGGGCAATGAGCTGTGGGGTGGGAGGGCTGGGAGACACCTGGGGGGGGTTGGGAGCACCTGGGCTGAGGGGTCCCTCCGCAGCCTGTCCGCTCCCTGGGCCGAGGCGCTTCCCACACACCCCAACCTCGGCAGGAATGGGGGCGTCCCCGGTGCTTTGGGGGGCTGGGAGCCCCCACACTTGTGGGCGTAATCCAGTCCTGGATGGACTCGTGTCCACAGCCCGCGGGGATGCGCCGGGATCCTGCCTGCGAGCCAGGAGGGGGCTCTTTCACCCCGGCGGTGGGAGGCTGGGCGGCTGCGGATGGGGGGCGAGGGGCCCCAGACCCTTCCCTGAGGGTTGGGCACCCCAGTGCCAGCTCAGCACCCCGTCCCCTCCCAGGGCAGCTCCCCAGCATGGTCACACGACCCCGGTGGGGCCCCTGCCCAGCTCCTCCCGTGCCTTTTCCAGGGAAGCCCCACGGCTGCGGGTTACCACGAGCAATCAGCCGCAGACCTTAATTAGGAGCCTCCAGCAGCACAAATGGGGGATCCTGGCCCCCGTCTCCCCACAGCCACGTGTTCTCCTGCCACGGAGCCTCTCCCTGCGTCGATCCAGCTGCGCGTTCCTGTCCCCCCGTTAATAAATGAGCTGTGATTGCTGGCAGAGCCGGGTGTTGGTGCTGAGATGAGCTGCAGCGTGTGGCAGAGACTTGGCGTTGGGGCGCGGCATCCCGTCTGCCCGCCGTGCAGGATCGGGGTTACCTTGTCAGGGACAAGGAGACATGGGGACACGTGGCCACCCCTCAAATTGTCCCAGGGTGTCCATCAGTGGGAGGAGATGGCCACCGAGACTCACCCCAGGTCAGGGCATCAGCCCCGGCCCCAGTGCCCAGCGGGTCCCCCCAGCTCTGCCCAGTCCTCGGCGCTGGGACCTGTGAATGCTCCAGGACAGCCGGGGTAGGCAGTGGGGTGAGGTGACTTGCCGGTCCCCAGCTGTCCCGTGTCACCGTCCCCCTGCCCAGCAGAGTTCTGGCCAGGTCCTGTGGGGCGGGGGGGTATCGGGGACC